GTCACATGGGAAGAGGGAAGGCGGCTGGAGTTCCTCCAACATTTGCGGTTAGATTATCATATTTTTTTTATTGACAAAAATATAGGCTGCTTCGGCTGATTTTTTATGCGCACATGTGCCTAAATATTTTTTACAGTTCGCACACACCTATTTTCAGCCGCAAATGCCAGTAAAACGCTCGCACTGTCGAGCCCTGCTGTATAACATTGCCACTGCACATTTCAGTTATTTTAACAGAGTACTAAATGACATTGCCAAAAAGGGAAAATTGCAGTTATTCTGAACAGTGTAATAATAGTACAACATCCAGCGTCCAGCTGCATGCAAAATCAACAACATTCATGTTGCTGGTTCACAGTTTCCCGGAAAAACAAGAACAAACAGATACATTAACATTTGACAACAGTTTTCTTCATAAGAGACCAGAAGAAAACAACAGATGGACCCCGAGAGGAAGACTCACCCAATGAATGACTTCCACTCAGCAAGGGCTTTTTTATACAAGGGGGTTGAATCTTGGTCATGGATGGAATCTTGGAGAATTTCAGTTTGCAACACAGATAGCAGTGTGGAAATACACTTGGGGTAGGTGAGGTGGAAGGCATAATAATGAGATAAAAAGTCCCTCATAAAGGTCCTCCCTGTCGAATGTGGTCACTGGTGTGCTTCCCACAGCAATCATGCAGTTGTCTCCAGAGAGGAGCACAAATGGACAAGACAGAGGCCCCTGGCGCAGGAGACAATCTGGGTCTTCAGAAGTCTACAAGACAAAAGACAGTGACAAACATTAGAAAAAGACTGAAAAAAATGTAATTCATTAAAATAAAATAAAAACTTCCTAGAGCATCAAATAGTCAGATGAAAATTATCAAGATCCTAGATACATGAACCCATCTAAATGAAATGAAAGTAACTGTTAAGTGCAAATTCGATATGCATCACAGCAAGTTCCAATCAGTGACAGACAACACATTTGTGAAAATGAGCTCAAAAGGTGCAATGTTTAAAATTGTGGATATTATGCAACATCTTGAGGTCAGATTCTAGACTGACACACTGACATTCTAACCTTTCCACTTCGTGATGTATAACTACAACATATAGCATAAAATACTGCAGCCTTACCATAAGGACATGGAAAAGAGCCTCTCTGCTGGCACCCAGCTTCTTAGGAGGTGCGGTGCTGGATGGGAAGAGCAGTGGTAGAGGTCTGAACACAGCTGTGGCATGCTCCACTGGTTAGACAGAAAATGAACAGACAAGGTGTCACCATAAATAACTGTTTCTAATGTAATCTGAAAACTATTAACTTAAAGGCGCTGTATGTAAGAATGTGGCCAAAACGGTTACTGCACTCAAATTCAAAATACTGCCGCGAGTCGTGTCCGCCCCCCCTCCCCTACAGATTCGAGGTTGCTGGACAGCGGCATGCTGGAGACTGATTTGTTTGCCCACGGGCGGCTGCCGTGGCAGGGCCACGTCCTTGATCTTTGGTTTTCCAGCAGACCGTTCCAGCAAGTCCGGCTTCTCTGCTGCTAACGCTGCTGCTGGGATACAGCTGAGGAGGAGCCGGCTGCTAATGCTATGTACCGGGACACTGCTAATGCTGCTTGCCGTGCTGCTGTAGCTCAGTTGTAACGGTAACTGATGCTGAGCCTCTACTGACTGCGTGACTGGTAGATGGCGGTGGGTGGCACAACAGGCCAAAACACAAATTCAAAACATAAACATGATTTGCGGACTGTAAAAATTTTTTTTAGATGCGAATTTTCTGGCTGTACTATTGTTGTCGGTGAGATCAGTATGTTATATGAACATTATTCCTTAGTCTCTGTGACATATTAGGATGATTTTATGACTATTTGCTTTAGATTTCTTACATATAGCTCCTTTAAATTACAAATTCTGTACATTTAAGATTTGGCGATATTTGTATTCGTTTCAAGCCAAAACACAAGAAGATCAGGTTCATTCCTCTTAGGCATCTGCTAAAAATAAAAATGTTGTTAAAAAGACAGGTGTTTTACTAAATTGTACTACTTTATATTTTAGTGACACAATTTTGTCACACTGAAATAGAAAATAGTTTACTTTTTCATCTCGATTCACCACAAGCCATAGAGCCCGACACCTGAGGAAATTTTCAGGACCTGGAAACAGGTCTTTAGGCCCGTTTCCACCGCAGGAACTTCAGGGTAATTTAACGGGGCCGGGGCCGTTGGTGCGTGTCTCCACCGCAGGAACCACCCCCGAAGGACAGAGTTCCAGAACTTTTACAGAGGCTAAACAAGTCCCTGCCTCGGAGTAGGTACTCAGGACGGCCCTGAAAAACTCCTGGCTGGGGCTTGGGGATTACTTGGTGCTGATTGGATATACTCAAGGCGGGATGTGAAGTCAACAGAAAGCGGCATAATAGCCGGCATTTTTAAAACTCATCAGACGAGGGTCAGCTCATTCGTAGCTTCAGTAACTCAATAAAAAAAAAAAAAATTAAAAAAATATTTTTTCTGGCAGATATCTTAGTTACAACATGATTGAGCTAGCAAAGCAGTTTTGTGTTGCTATGTGTGGTATTTATTCAGTTTTGCGAAATCACGATGTCTAGAAAGCATCAGTGGCTGCATCTGACAGGGACAGCTCACAACAGCAGCAAAGGTAACATCAGGACGTCATCTGTTAAAAGTCTCCCGTTGTCGGATACGACATGAAACTACTCCAGTTAGCTCAATCATGTTGTAACTAAGATATCCGCTGGAAAAAAAAAAAAATTCACGGACCGTTTATTGAATTACTGAGTATTACAGACCTTACACATGTGCGAAGCTGTGTTAGCTAACGTTACAGACAAGAAAGCAGAATGTAAAAACATAGCAACATACCTTTGAGTGTAGCAGCTGTAACTTCGTCCAGTTTATCCATAGTTTGATTTCGCTTACATCTAGCTACAAACTTAAATTGCTTAACTGTCAAGAAAGCAGCAGCAGCTGACGTGACTTTGAGAAGCGCCAGGTCTCTCTTTTTTTTTTCTTTTTTTTTTCCAACGGTCCTCTACCCTCAGCACTCAGCACATTGGATTATACCATCTCTCTGGGAAGGCGGGGGGGGGATAGACAGGATGGGTGGTAAACTTTGCATTTCCCCATAACATATTTAAATACTTAAGACTGATAAATAAATAAAAACATAAATAATATTTATCTACGTGTATGTATTTCGTAGTAAATTATTATTCATGTATGCTGTTATAAGGCATATAATTATGAGAAGAAGCCCTTTGTAGCACCTAATGGACTAAACCATGTCATTTGGGGTTCATGGGAAAAGCGCAGAGCGCATGGGAAAAATGCCAAGGCTCGAAAAATGGGAAAAATGATTTGGCGCTGTGTTGTCTGCCTTGTTTTTGTGGGTCTGACCCTCAAATCTTTGCTCAGTCACATTAATTCTGCACACAGCCGTAGTCCAGATTTTTGTGTCGTCTGTGGAATCGACGGCTGTGTCAAAGAGTATGGCGTTTACAACTCCCTTTGGTAATATCTCTGGTATCACATTCGAAGAAGCCACTCTGAACCAAGCCCCAACCTCCAGGGGAGACGAGTGAGACCAATGCGGAAGTGCCAAAAACTGCAGTTCACTGACTGTCCACTTGAGGCTGGCTCAGGAAGTGAGTCAATACCCATAGACCCAAATGTTAAAATGAAAAACTTTAGAACAGAAATAAACATGTTTACAGCCTGGTACAAAAAATGGTTTTGGTCTCTATAGTTAATTTCCCCTTTCATGACAACTGTGGGGGGGGGGATTTTTTTCTAACTCTTCC